GGAAGAGGACATTTGGGAGTACAAATCCATTAGGAAGCAAAAGCATCAGAGTACTTCAGAGAGCGTCTCTACACCTGTGCAGAAAGTAAGTGATGGCAAGCGCAGCCCGAAAAGGAAGAAAACTAGGAATAAAAAAAAATCCATAGAAAAAAGTGATTCTCTTCAGAAAACCAAGCCGAGATCAAGGCCAAATCAAGACGTAGATCCGTGTAAAGATGACAGTAGCGCGCACTCCCAGGAAAGTGTGAGTAGCCTGACAGAACAGAGTTCACAAGGTGTGAAGCCCCTTCACGATGGACACTGTCCGAGCTGTCAGATGCCTTTCTCTTTGCTGTTGGTCCAGACACCTCGATGGCACGTTGCTGAATGTTTGGATGCTCCAGGGTCCATTGAGAAAGGTACGAATTGTGTAAGGAAAAGAAAACCTTCGAAGAAAAGGTTCCTCACATAATATTACTGTAAACCTTGGTTCTCATGTTTAGGTCAAAATCTGAGGTGGCAGTTGTTTTGATTTTTCAGTATGTTATTACTGATCGTTTATCAGTATTACTTTCGTATGAGGTTTGTGGTTCTTTGTGAGGAACATGGAAATCTGACATGCAAAACTTACTAGAGTAGTGATTAAAAGGTTCATGGTTGTTTATTGAGCTCTAGCTTTAGTAGTTTATTGAAGAAATTGAAGGTGCATGTTTACAGTTTTAAAATGATGGAACCTATCTCAATTACTAAGTCAGTGTCAGCAAAAAAACCTCCTTCAGTAAGAAGATACTACTTTTAACATGAAATTTCTTTCTCCTGATGTATAAATTTTATTATTGTGTATCCATGTTCTTGTGTGACTTGTCCTGGTATCTGTGGACAGTTGGAATCTGAAATCAGACTTTTAGGCTAATTTAATTGAAATGTTACCCCTGGTCTAAGATGCTTTAGAAATTTTATGCAGAATTATTCATGAGCATTCCTGTATCGTAAAACAACAGTTTTGTTTTGAGTTCTGTACAAGAGGAATAAAACCAACTCACTCCAAGTGCTAGTTTCATGTGCCAATACTGTGTCTGAACAGATCCAGGCATCCAACTTATGTTCTTAGTACACCTTATAACTTTTGGAAAACAGAAGTGAACAGCTAAGAAACTTGAGTAAAGGCTGTTTTAGGTAACTCAGTCACTTTCCTTTTTTATCTTTGTAACTTTCCGTGAAGTTTCTTCCTCAGAACAGTGAAATGCGAGTCCTTTAATCCTGATTTTGGCAGTGGTTTTAATTTAAGGTGGGTGTGTTAACACCTCATTTCTATCTCTTACTCCCATAATTAAAAAATGGGGAATCCTTCTGATTGATTTATGCAGTCACTTCTCAATCCTCAGAGGTTAAGCTAGCCAACTCTCAGCAAAAAAGGCCTAGGGAACAGCCACGAGGTTTTTTTGCTGGCATCTGAATCCTGAATACTTGTTTTCACATATGTAAATACATGAATTTTTTTTTAATATATGAATTTAATGTGTAACCCAACAGATAATTTGAAATGGAGTTTCAGGTTGATTTGGAACCAAGCTTTGGTTTATTTTGAAACATATCTGTTGGTTTTTTCTGGTACTACTGCTCTGAGCTCGTTGCTTGTATGTGAAACGGTTCTAAACTAGAAGCCACCACATGATTGGTTAGCACAGCACTGAAACAGGGTTAAGTACTCTTGTTGTTAGAGGGCTGTATTAATTTGTAGTGCTGTATTAACAACAGTTAATTGGTTTTAGATTGGAAGCATTCTCGCTTCAGCTCAGGGCAGGAGGTCTTAGTGGCTTTAAAAGTACTTTTTGCTTGTGCCTGCTGTCCTTCAATATTTGCATTTGTAAGAAGAAGCTTTTAAATTGTGTCATGTGCAATTTTTATTTTAACAATCATGCCAGCTGTATTTACGATGATATTAACATTAATTCTTTGTACAATTCTTTCTGTAGAGTGTCCCGATGGTTTGCTGTGCACTTCCACCATTCCATCCCACTACAAGCGTTACAGCCATTTCCTGCTTGCAGCAAGCAGGGCAGGAGATTATCTTGTGAACTCTTCAGCAAACACTTTGGAGGGGAAGATGACATGTTCTACTGCTGCAGAGCCCAGCTGCTCTCCAAGTCATGTAGAGAAAATATTGCAGAATGAGAAACCATCCAATAATGTAAAAAATATCTCAAATGATGACTGTACAATGATGGTAGAGAGTTCACCACACATGAAGCCTCTAAATATAATCAGTGAAAGTACTTCCTCTTTTGCAGATGTTCAAAAGCCTCAACAGTCATTTCAGCTTATGCAGACCACAGACAATAGTTGTAATTTTGAGTTTTATGACTTTGCATCCTCTCAAAAAAGTGGAACAGAAGAAGATCTGTGTAGTCAGAAAGATACAACTCAGCCAAGTTTACTACAGTCAGAAGTGGACTTTAGTGACTGTGAAATTTCTTACTCTCCTCTGAGTAATTTTGAGGAAAGTCAAGAGGAAACTGAGGAAGAGGAGCAAAAAGTAAAAATGTCACAAGATAGATTATTTGAAGTCTGGAACTTTGAAGATAAAGAATCGAATTCTGTCGTGTTTAAAACATCTGATGGACTTCTCTCACAGCAGAAGCCTCAGTATGAGCATACCAAAATGGGAAATTTCATCATTAAAAAAAAACATTGTGAGGAAGTAAATACATTGCACCATCTAGATCACGTTGTGAAGACTGGGCCTCAGAGTCAGGTGAACAGCAAGTTGTGTAATTCAACATCTGGAGGCAATCAGCATCAGCAAGAGGTGTTTCCCCGGGGCTCCTCTTTTCTTTCTAATTGCAAGGTGATTGCACAGCCAGGCTTGAGTTCCTCTGCTGCTAGAGCAGGTAACACAGAGTCAGAAGACGCTGGTGCTTGTCCTTTGGATCCCGCCTACATGAGTTTTACTGAGATGTCGTCGCTGGTAGTCGGAGGGGATGCCGGGTCTCTTCTGACACAGAAAAGTAACGATTTGGGGGACCCAAGTAACGTTTTAACTGCTGCAGATGAAATGACTGCCAATGCATTTGAAAAAAAAGCTCACAAGGAGAATTTGCAGTCAGTAGTGCGGAGAGAAGGAAACTGTGATAAAGCTGCTGTGTGCTTTCCCAGCCCCAACTCTAAAACAGTACCGTCTCTCTCTTTAGCAAATATAAATGCCAAATCTAGTTCTGCCAAAGAACTCAAACAAATGGACATTGGTGTTTTTTTTGGGTTGAAACCCAAAGTAAAAGAGGAAAGCAAAGGAGAGACGTGTTTGAGCGAGGGAAAGCAGATACTAACTTCAGTAACTCCCAGTGGAAAGAGGCCCAGGCAGCAAAAAAGAAAAGCTGAAGGGTCTGTGGAAAATGTAGAAGCAGTTATGGAAGCTTCAAGTCAAGATGGAGCCTTTGCAAATGTCAGTTCTGGTGGCCAACAAAGGTGGAGAAAAAAAATTAAAGAATTACCTACTGCAGGTGAAGGAAAAAGAACAAAACACTGCCCTTTCTACAAGAAAATACCAGGTGAGAAGTAACTCTTTTTATAGAGGTTAACTGATTTTTGGCTTGAGTGTTGTATTCTTTTTCCTAGTTCTAAGTCTCAGTATTCTTCACTCTTCATGACGGTTTGGAGTGCAGCTCATAATGAATTTTCTTTCCTCCATCTAAGTTAATAAAATCCTGCGTAGGTGCAGATCTCCAGGAACAGGTGATTGCAGAACTAGAGTCAGCAACAGCTGAGAATAGTTAGTGAAATAGTTTTCTCAGGAAAATTATTTAAAGGAGTGACTTCTGAATGGTTTAGAGGAAGAAATGTAAGTATTATTGAAAGATGGAACTACTTCCTTAAATGGTTTTGAATATGTCCCTTGAATATATCTCTATTCACTTCTAATTCCTGAATTTAACCTTTCACATTGCTTCAGTTGTGCCTGAAAGCATTTGAAATTCAATAGTATTGGAAATACGTTTTACTACAATGTGAAAAGAAAGAAATGAAAACCAAGCAGAAGAATTTAGTTAAGGAAACAGCCAAGAATTTCTCAGAATCATCTCAAGCAGTTACATAAATTACAGGATGATGGATCAGCAGCTTCAAAAGCTTCAGATTCTCACAGTTCTATTTACCACTAAAGGATTGTTTTAGCCTTTGGTAGATATTGGAAGAAGCCAAAGAGAAATATATAAGTGATTGTAAGTGCCAAGCTTCTCCTTGAAGACTGACCTGTAAGTTTTTGTATAATTGAAAAATTGCAGTTTGATTGCAAAACTTCATTTTGTAAAGCTGTGGTTGTCTGTTTTATTTTGTGTTAAGATATTGGTATTAGATTTTAATCTACATGAAGTTTAAAAAATACCAGCTGGATGAAGATAAATGTGTTTTATTTGCTTAACCAGGTGTCATCTCTGTGGGAAAGCAGCCAAACAAGACCGTGTTTGGGAGGCCTTTGACAGTATTTGTGTGTGGACACTTTGTGAAATTTTTGTTTTAAGAAGTGAAAATGTTTTTGTGACTGTTGACACCTGCATAAACCATGCTTGTCTTTACATGGCTCCTTCAACTGCATGCAGTGTAACTGGACTGTTTCCTTTTATTTTGGAAGGAAAAAAAGGGAAAATTTGCATAGAAACTTGTTCTGAACTATGCATGTTTACTGACTGCCTTCTCTTCCCTTTTTGCTGCAGGAACCGGTTTTACAGTTGATGCCTTCCAATATGGAGAAGTCGAAGGCTGCACAGCTTATTTCCTTACGCATTTTCACTCGGATCACTACTGTGGGTTAACAAAAAACTTCATGTTTCCAATCTACTGTAATAAGGTAAGGTTTTCCAGGATTACTAGATATTATGCTTATGCAACTATAATCACTTTTATACTGATGAAAATAAATAGAAGACCAGAGGTTCCCATGTTGGGTCAGTTAGACACAGTGGATATTTGTAGGGGAATCTGGATTTCCCTTGTAGTAAGTTCTCACCCTGATTTGACTGGCGAAGAAAGTTGATGAACCATTTCTGTCTAGATACCTTGAAAAAATTTATTATTAAAAGGTTCTTGAGAGGTCATGTAGACTGATCTGCACAATGTAGGTCTAACCTCGAAGTTAGGTTATACTGCAGAGAGCCTTCATTGGTCAAATTTTGAAAACAGGACAAATTTCACTGTCTCCTCATAACCTCTTGCAGTCCTTACCCACTCTTGAGTTTTTTTCCTAACAGTACAATTCAAATGTCCCTTTCTGCACCTTGAGACTGTAGCGTGTTGGTTTTGTGTGCGTCACGGAGAAGAATCTAGTACAGTCTTCCCTCTAACTCTGCCCAGTGGTGGAAGTCTGGAATTAGATCGTGCTTAAGCCATCCCTTCTCCGTGTTAGGTAAATGGAGTTGGTTTAGCCTGGTCCTGCGTGGCCTGTGCTTCAGGCTGCTCGATGGGCCAGGCTGGCCTTAGAATCTATCGTGTGTCCAGCCAACTGCTCTTGACTCCTAACATGGGAGGGCACTTTGTCTAATCCATTCATCCAGGACCTGCATCAAAAAAACCCTATTTCTGATTTACTCTGGAAGTCCCCTTGAATGCTCGTTTCCCCCGATGCCCTTCCAGGAGGTGTTGGGGTGGTAAGATCCAGGGCCTGTGACCTGGAAACTTCTCTAGTTGTTTAAAGAAAGCTTTATGCATCTCCTCTTCTTGCCTTTGCAGCCTGTAACAGATGTTATTCCCCCTTGTTTCCCTCCTCTCTGATTCCAATCTGTAACCTGTTGACAGGCTTTTAAAAGTTTGATTTTTTTAAGGCAGCTTTTTTTCTTTTTGAGAGGTGAAATGCTACCGAAAGGCTTACTTGTACTCAGGATTTCATAGTTTCTCTCAAAGCCAGACAGTCTGGCTTGAGAGCATTTGTTTCTAAAATAAACAGAGGCTTTTTTTAGATTCTGTTGCTATTCCATATTAAATCCTTTCCCCGTTACAGATAACTGGCAATCTGGTGAAGAGCAAACTTCGAGTCAAAGAAGAGTATGTCCACGTGCTGCCGATGGAAACGGAATGTGTAGTGAATGGGATCAAAGTGATGTTGCTTGATGCCAATCAGTATGTATTGCATTTGTTGTGCATTGTTTGTGTGTGTAGAATATTAAATAGTTCTACAGACACAGGTCGTGTTTTCGTGCTGTTTAGGTTTCAGAGGATCTGAAAAAAGAAGGATGAATACACTTGACATTTCTGAGTTGGCTTAGTAAAATGCATTTTTTGTGTGTTCCACTGGCGCTGTGTGATAATTTGTGCATTTGAAGTTCAGTAGCACCTGACTTCCAGCCCTGTCCTCTTGTTGTTCTGCCTCTTGGTACCTTATTCGGCTGTGGGCTAGTGGAAAGGTCCTTTCCCTGAAGTATACATTGAAATGCAGCACTGTGTCACAGCTGGTTTGACTATTACTTATTGTAGGATTTGTTTATAGTTAGAGAGATAAGATTCTGTGAAGTCTTTTGAGAACCCTTTCTGGGAATGAAGGAAACCTCCTTGCTTATGTAATTTGGACACTTCTCATTTTTCCTCTTTGTCTTTCTGATTCTCTGCTTCAATTTAAAAGGCGTATAAACCTTAGCTACAAAGTTTAACTTCTTGGAGAGTTCACCAGTTCTGTCATTTTAGCTCTGATTCATGCCAGTTTTTCTTTTTTTGAGATTTTGGTTCATTTACCCTTTACAGATGATTCACGTCCAAAATAGTCTCACTCTGGTTTTCCAGTGCTTTCCAAAGCTTTTAGCCTTCAGACAGCTTTGGTGAGGAACTGCAGAAGATGCAATGAATTCACTGTGACCAATAAGAGAATTGTGTTTGTCCAACCAGGGAATTCTGGGTGGAGGATAATACTTAAAATCTGCAAATAGAATTTAAGAGGGAATGCTTCAGGAAGTCCTGCAAGAATGAAGACGCATCTGCAATAATATGATTCTGTTTGTCCTCAATAAGCATGCTGCTTCGGTGTGCTGTTTCCCCTTTGAATTCAATAATACAACCTCAGGGACAGCAACTAAGGCAGCATCTTTGTCCTACCTAGAAGACAGAGCATTCCAAAAAGGAAGTTAATGCTTGGTTATAGAATCACAGAATTATTGAGGCTGGAAAAGACCTCTGAGTCCAGCCTATGACCCAGCACCACCACATCAGCTACATGTTGGTGTGGGGTTTCTTTTCTTGTCTTTTCAAGTCTACCTTGCCTATGGCCATAAATTTAGCTTCAGAATTCCTTTAGAAATCATGGATTTCTAGCTAAATCAGGCTGTGCAGTAGCTGTGATTTCAAATGCTGTTCTGCACATCTTCCTGCTACTCAAGAGTGAATTATTTCACAAGCAAGCTTATCAGTATAGAGAACTAACAGAATCTGTGGGGTTTTTTGTTGGTTTGTTTCAGTTGTCCAGGTGCAACAATGATCCTTTTCCGTCTGCCAAGTGGAACCGTTATTCTGCACACAGGAGACTTTAGGGCAGATCCTTCTATGGAGCGCTGCCCTGCTTTGGTTGGTCAACAAGTCCATACCCTTTACCTTGATACCACGTAAGTTGTGTTGAATTACTTAATTATTTTTTTCCCATATAACCCTGGTTTTGATTTAGCAAATCTTTAACATGAACCAAATAAATGTAAGTGTAAATGATTTTACTGTTTCAACACTTGATAGCTCTTCAATTAGTCTTGAATTAAATCAGTTATTTATTGAATATCCGTGTGTGTCTAGCTCATTCACCTGCTGTGCTGTTACACGGGAGAACAAAAGTGGGTAGTGGAAAAGATGCTGCACTATTTGCTGAGGTGACATTATTTATAAATGGTATCAAATTCTGGGTGTCAGAATTCATGCATTGAGTATTCAGCTCTAAAACAAGAGATTCATAGAACACTGGGTTTATGTTGATTCAACTCTGTTATGAAAAGAGGTGTGGGAGAATTCAAAAAGAATTCCAAATGGTTAAATTGGTTGTCCAGGTTTTCATTAGAACTTTCTCTGACTCATCTGTTAAAATTGTTTTTCTGTGTCTGATGACTAATGCCCAGCTGCAATCTTTGATTCCTGTTCCTTATGTTACTGAGAATGAATGATGCCTTATGTTATGGTTTGTGTGCAGGACAAAAAATAGACATAAGGGTGTAATTAGTATGTGATACAAATATCTAGCTTGAAAGAGCACTTGGTATTTATAGACAAAAACTGCAGAATTGAGTGTCAGTGTCAGACAAGTGGATAGATGTAGAGAAGAAACTGGTCAGCTCAATGTAAATTTTATGGCAACGGTTTTAGCAGGGCACCTCAGTGGTTTCTAATAGATAGATTGCAAATAGACTGAAATTGTAAAGGAGGATGACATCTTTTTCATTACTTTGTTGTTGTGTGCACGCAGTTGTGAGGACCGCCTTGGGAAATTCAGACGTCTTCTGTCTTATGTAACGCAGTGGTTTATCTTGTTTCTATGCCCCAGATACTGTAGTCCTGAATACACTTTTCCTTCTCAGCAAGAGGTTATCCAGTTTGCTGTCAATACCGCCTTTGAGACAGTGACTTTAAACCCACGTACTCTGGTTGTCTGTGGCACTTATTCCATTGGAAAGGAAAAAGTTTTTTTAGGTATGTAAAAGCTTACCGGATCGAATAACTATATAAATATCTAAGTCAGTGTTAAAAGATTTTTTTTCTTGAAAATATAAAGGATCACTTAGTTTTTATGGTCAAATATTATGTAAAGAAATGAAATATATTTAATAATCCTACTGCTGATTTTTTTAGTTTTCTAATCAATAAGTTGTAACTTTCTGAAAGAAATGTTTTTCTGCCATGTTTACAACCCCCCCAAATATACAGAAGGCCAATTTGGATACTAAATGAATGAGCCTATTTCATAGACTCATAGAATGATTCAGATTGGAAGGGACCTCAAAGATCATCTAGTTCCAACCCCCCTGGCATGGCAGGGACATCTCCCACTGGATCAGGTTGCTCAATGCTCCATCCGGCCTGGCCTTGAACATTTCAGGGGTGGAGTATCCACAACCTCCCTGGGCAACCTGTTCCAGCGCCTCACAACCCTCAGGGTAAAGAACTTAACTGACTGTGGTGAGAAAATCTCTAATTGGAATTAAAAAAAAAAACCCTAAGTGAGGCATTTAGGATGTTTTTGGTGTTAATAATTTCATGTTGTCAAGAAACAGCAAAGGGAAATAAACTGTTAGCAAAACAGAAGTTTAAGAATAATTTTCCTTCCAGGTTTGTATTAGGATTTTGCTAAATATTTGTAGTAGTCAGATTTAACGAAATTGGTTTTAACAAAGCATTCTCCAAACCAAAACACATATTTTCTGATGTAATGAAAATCTTGTGTGCCATGTTTCGCTCAGTTATAGCCTTAGGATCCAGCGTGATTGCCCATGCAGGCAGCTGTGTAACATTGGGGCTTCTGAGTATATTTAAAGTCATCAGTGCAAGACTTACTTTTGCTGAAATTTAGTTTATTTTTAACGTGGGCTGTTTGTTGTGTGTTCCAGAAACTGCACATTTTTGGAATCTTTGAAATAAATGCCAGTTCGCCTCGATAACATTCTGCCAAAGAAATATGACTTAGAACTCATCAGAGTACTTCTTCTCTTTCCAGTTGTCATACACAATTCTGCTGCTAAAATGTAGAAGCCAGAGGTTTTTTAACAGCCGTTGTAGGTTTCTCTTATTGATTTTAGAATATGAAACACTGTATCCTGTTGAATCTGGAAATTTCTTTTTTCCCAAAAGTAAAAATGATCCAGTGTAATAATCAAGAATATCTCCAAAGCAAGCAAAAAAACTGAACTCTTATAATTTTCTTTATTTGATTTCCTCCCAATTAATGCTAAAGCAATTGCTGAAGTTCTGGGCTCAAAAGCAAGCATGTCCCGGGATAAGTACAAAACGCTGCAGTGCCTGGAGTCAGCAGCTGTGAATTCCCTCATCAGTGTGGACTGGGCTGGTACTTTGCTTCACGTTCTTCCCATGATGCAAATTAATTTTAAGGTAAGTTCAGAGAATATGTTCTGCTTGTTAACCAGCTGGTTCATCACGCTGTTGGCTCCTCCCAACCGGTGTTGTGCTTCGTGCTTTTTAGCTTCTTGTCAGATCATATTTATTTCGTAAAGCTTTGGCATGTAGCAAGACATTGAAAATGGGGAAAGAAAGTTTTTCTAAATAAACTTCAAAATACAGAATGGGATTAAAGCAACCAGCAGGCTCTAGATTAAAGGTAGCCTGGAAGAAAGAGACAAACAGTGGTCGATTACGCCTTATGGACTTGGATTCATTTTCCTGCTTTGCTTCAGGCCTGCTGTGCCATCTCAAGCAAATTCTTCAGAGCAAGATGATACTTAGCTGCAGAACCAGTCAAGGTCAGAGTTGACCTAAAAAGGAGAAAAAAAGGCTGTGCAATTTGGATGGAAGCTGCAGGAAGTGAAACTTAATATCTTAATGTTTTAATCTTGTCCTATAATCTTTTCCACGGTGGGTCAGAAAGCGAGTAATGGAATTGTGTATGGATTTATTTTTAATGTGTTGTCTTAAAAAATAATATATTTTAGTTTCCTTTGTGGATTTTGGGGTTGTTACATGGTTCTGCTGCACGGAGCGTTTGCCTGGTTGGAATTTTTCAGGCAGGGGATGTGATTGTACCATAAGGAGGTCTAGGCAGCTGCTCAGGGAATGCAGGGACTCATCTTTGCACGTAGGAGCTTCTGGACAAATCCAAAGAAGTTGTGACACTGTCCCAAAAATCTCTTGAAGGAACAAGTTCAAATTTAAGAGGAAATAGCCTCAATCTGTAGTTAGGATGAAAGCAGTCCCATTTATAATATTGAATAACCACAAAGTCTCACTAGACTTGATGTTTATCCAGGCAGCAGTGTAGCTAGCAGACTGTCATGGTGATGGAAGGAGGTTGATTTAGCTGTGAAATTCATTTTCCATTTTAAAAGGATGAAAGTTTAGAACAGTGTTGGCTAAAGTAATGAAAGAAGAAATTGGAATTTGTATTTAAAGTGGACTTGTTATGAGTAAATGCTGTAGTAATTTGTTTTGTGGAATGAGGCCATCTTTTTGAAACTCATGTGTGGTTCTTTTGCAACAAACAATTTTTGTTAACAGTTAGAAATTGAGGCTTCTGCCCCTTGAGTACACAGTGGAAGATTTCCAGAGAACTGGGGTCTTTAGGACTGGGCACCTCTTTTAAGTTGCTTAGCTCAGTGATGTCTTGCACTAGCACTGAGGCGAGAGTTTCAAAAGCGCCTGTGATTGAAAGGAAGAGATAATTTTTTATGACTTCGAAATTGCATCCTTAATGTGCGTGTTGCACACTTAATTTGTAACAAAATTTGAAAGTGGATTAGTATTGCTTAGGAGAATCGTTATTGTATTCAAAGTACTCTATTTAGATTTCATTAGAACAAGGGGAACAAATATGCAAATCATGAGGTTAAGCTGTGCTAGTCTTCCCAAAATGAAGTGTGAAGGAGAGTTAGACTGCTACGGTTACATCTTTTAATCTCGTGAGGACTGGACGTTTGCAGTGTGCTAAGAGTCACGGCAGCTGTCCCTAATTCCTGTTGCTCAGTGGAACGAGGGGTGCGGAAGCTTGGTTTTGTTGTTCTTTTGTGTGCTTCGTTTGATGGGTTCTGTGTGTTGCTCCTGGGCGTTACACCGAGGGTGCTGTTAACTGTGGCTGTGTCATGGGCAGCTTTCTGTTTTCTTGCTCAGTCATTTTCAAGTGACTGACAGATTAGTTAGTGTTCTGTTGCAGCTCATCTATCCTCCTCTCCCCACCTTTTTTTAATCAGTCTTTATTTTGGATTCCTCTTCCTGCTGCTGATAGGAAGTTTATGAATTTGAGTTCTGTAGTCTGGTAGGGCTTTCAAATGGAGAATGTGCCTTTAAGATTTTATACAGGACACGTGAAATTGATTTTCTATTTTTGGTTTGAAATGATACTGACTTCACTTTATCCAGGAATAGGATTGTACATTCCTTTATACATCCCTCTCATCTTTTTCCCAATCCTAGTTTAAACAACACTGAAGGCTAACTGAGCCGACTTGGAAACTTTTTCAAGTAATTTTAATTATTTTTTTTTGTAATGAAGGGATGAGAGGTAGCTTCCTTCTTATAATGAATGGAGATGTGGTAAAACATGGTTTAGTGCTCAGAACAGTACTCAACTTGTGCACTGGCTTGCTGCAGTTTTTTGAGTGACTTACAGTTAACTGAGCACTTCTGGGCATAAGCAGATACCAGGATCTCTGTGACAGTGGAAATTAACCTGATGATTTTGCACCGAAGCAGGCTTGTGCTGTCATCACCACTCAGCTGTGAGAATGCTGACCTCCAGCTGAGAGGAGGAAATGAGTGACTTGGGGAGCGAGATCTGTGAGAAAATGTGATTTATGCCTCATGTGCTGCGAACCGAAATGCAGAGCTCTTAGTATGTGCTTATTCAGGGGAAACAATTGAGATCCTAAAGTACAAGGTGCTCTAGAAATGTAAATATTTATCATTAATTATTTTGTCATTAATAACTTCGAGGCAGATGTATTTAAAATAAAAAGTTAAATCGAAACGTGAAAATAAAACCAAGCCTGAAGTCTCTCCATCATGAAATCTCCAGCCTTCAGAGGACTGAGCTGTTTTGTGGGATTAAGTATATGCTCTGTTCCTTTCACAGGGCTTGCAAGATCACTTGAATAAGTTTTCTGAGAATTTTGATCAAGTTCTGGCTTTCAGACCTACTGGGTGGACCTACTCTGATTCATGCCTTTCTCTGGTGGATATCAAACCTCAGACAAGAGGAAAGATCACCATATATGGTATAAGCGTGGTAAAGTTTCAGCGCATTTGGTTTTGTGTAGATGCTTTTCATATTTTTATTCTGGAAACTCCTGCTGGTTTTTGTGACCAATGCTTTTTCTCATAACTCGATGAGAAACGGAAGAGATGGTCTCTCCTGGAGAGGTCTTTGAGTAACTGGGAGCACTGTAAATGCAGATTTTCACATACATTTTGCTCCTGTCCTTCTCGTGCAAATGAAGACTTTTATCTGATATAAGTAGAGACTTCAGGGGTGAAGTTTTGGCCTGACTGATGCTGGTGACGGAGCAGTTCTAGAGCCAAGATTTCATTCCATACTTCACTCGTTGTGAGAGACTGTGGGTCTTCCCCTTCCTCCCAGTTCTTGTTGGTGGCTGGGTTTGAATCTCTTAACGTTCGTTTAACCAAACGCTCGGCGTCACCCAGTTTGCATTGATAAATGGCTTGGAAACTTAACGCAACGTAATTTTTCCAGGAGGAAAGTCTGGGTTTTCATTTTGCTTTAAGCTTTCGATCTCAAATGTGAATCTAATAAAATATTATCTAAAGAATTTCTGAGCTGGAAGGCTTGCAGAAGTGTTTTGGCAAGAAGCTAGGTAGACTGACAGATTGCTGTGGTATGTTTTTTCTTTCAGGGATTCCTTACAGCGAACACAGCAGTTACCTGGAAATGAAGCGTTTTGTTCAGTGGTTGAAGCCGCAGAAAATTATCCCCACTGTCAATGTTGGTGACTGGAGAGCCAGAAGCTTGATGGAGAAGCATTTTAGAGACTGGATGGTTGAGGGCAGTAGGCATAAATAAATATAAGGAAGAATGTATGTTTTTTAAAAGGATGTAGGCTGGAGGGAGAATTGTAAATTCCTGTGAGGTTTTTATTTAACTCCTTTTTCTACAGAGCTTTCTTTAGGGAGGACTAAGCTGCCATTCTCCTGAGAAAGCTGAATTTTCTGGAAAAAAAATAAAAGGCACCTTGCTTCCTCATGTATACTACTTATTTTTTCCCATAACTTGGTAACTTTTTTCAAATGCATATTTCACATTATTTCTGTCTTTCTCCTTATCTTTCTCACATTATGGAGATGCTCAGGCGCATAATGCTGGGAGAGAAGCTGCCTCTGGATTAACATTTTCTGAAAAGAAGCGACTGTAATAAATAAGACTATATTAAGCTTAGGTCATGTGCTGTCAGTTCAGGCTTCAGAGAAGCTCCTGCCGTGAGGCAGAAAGGTTCTGGTGCTTTAAATCTTGTAAACAAAATTTACATTGTGGGAGAGCACTGGCTTTTGAGGTCTTCCAGTCTATGTACTTCAGAAAGTGATTTTTAAAAAAGACATTGCCACCTGCATCCTGCTCAAAATTTTCTGAATTTTAAATTATTGGGTTTTTTTAAATAAAGCACCTACATGAAGCCTCTGTGTGTTCTTTCTGTGCAAAGCGTGTTTCTTTTCAGTACCGTAGTTGCTAACCTGAGAAACTTGTCTGTGATGTCTCTGGTGGACATTCACAGAATCACAGAATTGCTGAGGCTGGAAAAGACCTCTCAGATCATCAAGTCCAGCCTATAACAACATCAAGTCCAGCCTATAACATCAAGTCCAGCCTATTCCATGTATGTTGATCACATAAGGTGGTTCCTGCATCCTGGTAGTGCAAGTTCTCCGTGCGTGGTCAAAGCTCAGCAGCAGATCCTCTCCATGCAGTCTCCTACAATGTGTTTGGATTTACAGGGCTGTATGTGTTATGTTTGTTACTTGAATTCTTGAAAACCAAGACAGGCAAATATTAGTGCTGGCAGCAGAAAGGTAAATGTTTCACTTTGTGTTGGTTTTTTTTCCTCTGAATCTTTCCAGATTATCAGTGCTGCTTTTTCCTGTATCTGTTTGGTATTTATGATACTGAAGTATGTGGTTGCATGCAGGCACACTAGTATAACTTTTAAGTGCTAAAATACAAACCATTTCAAACTTCCAGGGCTTACAAAAGTTACATCATGGGTAAAGAATCGTCCCTCACTCCCCCAGAGTAGCTCACTGGAAATCTTCAATGCCGTTTTTTTCCTTAATGATCAATGTGAGTACGAACTGATCCTTATCTTTGAGTGACAAGCTCTGTGATGTGAAGTCACTTTTATTTCTGTCTTCTGAGAGAAATAACTGCAAAACTCTGATGGAGAGGAAGTTCTTGTACTGATTCACAATTCTTTTGGTACATTCCCTGTTTTTATTTTACATAATGCACTGTGGTAGCTCTCCTTATTGTAGGAACTGCTAGTGTCTTGGGTTGGCATGATTATTCCTAGGATTCCACTCCTTGCTGGAGTAGGTATGTGAAAAAGAAATTTTTTTGATTCCTTGTGAATACTGAACTTGAATTAATCCCTTGTACAAGTCAGAGTGAATTTGAGGATTCTGTTTGGCAGGCAGATGCTTCTAACAGTTGAATTGTTTAAGGAATCGTGCATGGGGCTCTTTTTGCCTTGCAAGTGTTTTTCCTGACTAATTTTGCACCAAGTAGGAGAGGCTGGAGTGAGCAACTCGAAGTCAGAGTCTTAATCACAATTCTGACATCTTGATTCCGTAGTTATATTTACAAGAATGAATATTCCTACAGAGAATGAGCATGTGTGGGGCCTCTCCACAGGCTGATGCTGTTACAGGCGTGTGATTTCTGTACTGAAAGGGTTGTCAGGCATTGGAACAGGCTGCCCAGGGAGGTGGTTGAGTCACTGTCCCTGGATGTTGTTTAAGAGACGGGTGGATGTTGCGGGAATCCTTTAGTAGGTTGATAGGGCTGGGGCAAAGGCTGGACTCGATGATCTTCCAGCTGATAGGATTCTATGATTGCATTTGTTAACCCACACATAAGTGGTAACATGGAACTGCGCTAATGCAGCTGCCGGTGTGGCTGGTGGGTGTGTGTGGCTCTTCACTCCTGCTCTCAGTTTCTCCCGTTACCCAGAATGAAGGTTTGGGTTGACTCTTTTTTTCTTTTTTTTTTTTTCTCCTCTTTGAAAAGCAAACTTATTTCTGAAACTAACCACAAAAATGCTGTATCTTGGAAGATGCTGACATTGGCATCTGCTGGGCTGACCCAGTTAATACTGCCCTGATTTGGAACAGATGGCGACGGGTTCACGTCAGTCAGCCAAGCAGAACGGCTTTTGGGCTGGGGTCTGTTCCCAGTTGCCTGCTCTGCTGTAGGTATTCCCACGTCAGCCCGCTGGTTGCTTTCATTCCTTCCTCTCTTCGCTTTGTATTTGCGCTCATCCCAGCTGTTTGGGTTTTGGTTGTTTTGGGTTCTTGTTTGTTTGTTTGTTGCTTTTTGTGGGTAGACTCGAATTCTGCAGCATTTCATCCACCTTCATGTTAGGAGATCTCCGTGGTACCCAGTTACTCCTCCTCCTTTGAATGGAAAAAAAGTCTTCAGAATCCGAACTGAGGAAGAAGTTCTTATTTTTGTTCTCGTTGTTGTAAAGGAAGAAGATTACCAGCAGAATTAGGCTGGTTTAGATTGCCAAGGAGAACATACAAGCAGATGTGGAAAAACCATTTAAACAAGAATTTGTGGGAAGATTTATAGCAGAACCTTTTCTCTCCTCTTGCCAAGATTGTTCCAAGGGACAGCTCTGATCACAGCAAATTCTTTGGGGAGCACAGACCTGTGATAAACCTGATTTCAGCATTATTGTGCAGGTATAATTAGGGAGTGGCTCCACATTTCCTAACAAAGGAGTCAACATTTTTTTCAGTCTTGGCAGTGTTGGCATTATAGGTGCTGAGTGAAAGCGTTCATTACTTTAATTTGGAACATCAGCTCAAACTACAGAGAATCTACTGCCTTTTCAAAGTCAGTATCCTTGGATTTTTGATCTCTGTGTTAAAGAAAGACAAGACCAGAATCCTCTGGACAGGGAGGGTTGAAGACCCAGTCTGTGTCCTTACCTTCACATCAGATGAGTATTGTGTTGATATAAATAATACCAGATTTTACTAAAGCAAGATGGGCCTGTGAACGTCCCAGAGGCTATTCCAGTTTGTCTAGTGCTGACAGACCCAGGCCAAAAGGTGAAGCAAATGCAAAGTAACACTCCATCAGTGCCCAGAATGGCTTTCAAAGCCAACCACTCCGAAGAATCACTTTGTATTTCCCATCAGGACTCCTGCTCTGATTACATGTCACCCCAATTGGTAGATAAATGAGCTAAAAGCAACACTGTTTGGAAAAGGGAGAGGGAGGGGAAAGAGGAGAGGAGGAAAGCAGCTTCTCGCTGGGCTGACACCGGCCAAGGGTTTCAGGCTGCCTGAATGATAAACGAAACCAGCGCCTTGTGCCCATGGCCTGTGGTGGTCATGGAGGAGGCTCCTGGGAAGGCAAGTCTGAAGACATTGCAAAATAAAAGCACATGGATGGTTAAAGGGAACTTTGAGATGCTGGGTATCTTCTTAAATCTTGATGTGAAAATGAGCAAGAGTAACTTGAAGTGGAGAAAGGAGCTGAGGTGTCGTCAGGATGGTTAAAGCATTTCTCTTATCTGAGCAAACCTGTCTGCTCCCGTGCGCTTAGTAAAGGCAATTAAGATAAATTGCTGTTTAAGTTTGTTTTTTAAGATAGAATGACTTCAGATACATCCCTCAAGCAGTTTGGGATTGATTTTTACTGAGATCTTGTTTTGCTTTTGAAGACTGCTTGGAGAGATTACTGTGTCAGACTAAAGGTGCAGTTAGTGCCTTGATGTGTTTTCTGTGTCTATTTAATATTTTCTGGTGAGTTTTCTTTGGTAAGGGACAAAAAGCAGATGACTTTTGAGAAAAGAGAATGCAGCCCAAACTTTCCTATCTCCCCTTTGCTACAGAAAACCAGCTGCTTCTCATTTCAGAATCAAAACAAACAAGACCATCTCTTTTGAGGGTGAGGCACAGGCTGCTCTACATCTTTAGGATTTGCGGTGAAGTGATGCAATTTGAAATTGTATCCCGACTTGACTCTGTCTGCAAAACACTCAGTATGTGTAAAATCGCAGTATTGCTATCTAGGGGGAAATATGACAGGGATGAATGAAATTCATAGGAATTACTGAAAGTTTGTCAGTACAAATACTAGAAATTGGAGCTCATGTACTTAAGTTTCACATGTTGGTTCAGATTGTAAATGTGCACTTGGAGCTTTGAATTTAATGCTCTCCCCAGAAATGCACAGAAAAGCTGGAGGTAGCTTACAGTCCTCTGACAAAAATGAAGGGACAAGAGACAGGCTGTCACTGTTTGTAGATAAGGAAAACGGGACAGAAGAGCCAGCTGCCTTCCTCCTGAACCTAACCCAGCTGTCTGTGGGTACAAACTGCAGCCGAGGAGCCTGCGAAGGCAGAGCCTGCCCTGCCCGGCTGCCTCCTCTCCCTCCCCTTTCTACTCTGAACCTTTACCCAGCGTTGTACAATGGCACCTTGTTATCGAATTGCCAGCAAATACTTTGGCAAGGAGGAGGCTTTTCCACTCTGTCACATCTGCTCTGGTATCTCGGAGCAGATAGTGACTTGTTTGTGCTGGTTTCCAACAAGTGCTTATGTAAACCAAACAGTTTTTAAAACCTCTAAGCTTTTGCATTTGGCATTTGAATTCAATTTTATTCACCTTTCTTTCTGTCTGTTGCACTCACTGTTAAGGACGGAAAAGGAAAAAATTCATGGTCGCAGGGAAAAAAAGATGCCAGCAGTGCACCCGAGGAAAAGGTGACACAAGGACACAAATGCGAACGAGGGTGACTTTGGCGCTGAGGTCAGCAAGATCAGGGCTGGTTGTGAGTTCTGCCTGTACTGACTACTGCTGCCTCCCACCCCTCCCGGCTGCCCACTACCTTCCTCTGTGTAGAGTGTCACTGATTTCTGTTAACTCTGTCGTGAGAAGCAAAATTT